CCACCTAGTGACTGAAACTTGTAGCTTAACTTTTGTGAAATGCTCAGTTAATGACTACTCCCATGAACGGATATTAATGAAAATATTAATTTTGAACCTTTAGATACAAACTATCTGAATTACTAAAAAATACAAGCTAACTTTGAACAATGTATAAGTAGTCATACTAATGCTGACCTTCAATGCCAATCAGGATTCCTGGGACAATTTAGAAAATATTTTTAAAATGCAAATATTATAAAAGTATGATTATTGAAAATATACTTCTTTTAAAAAAGTTAAAAGAAAAATACATAAATAAATAAACATGAAGCCACCCAGAGTCCTTGACTGAGATGAGTGGCCATAGAAATTGAACAAAGAAACAAAAGCTTGAGCATGTAAGTGTGAAAAACTTTAAATATTAATATTTAAAACCTAAGGAAAGCAGACTGAAAATGACAATTTCAATATAACATATTCTGAGGTGGCTGCTACCTTGGTCACACAGCCTTGGCTATGAAAATTGAACAAGTTTTAGCGTTTCAAGTATCCAGGGATTGTCCCACATGATCCTGCTCTTGGAAAACCCATATAGATTACATGAAACAATTAGCACTGAGGAGCTCAGCAAGACTATTAAATTTCTTTATGCCAAAGGCAAGGAATGTACTGCAGCAGCATCAAAGTCATTTGAGGCAAAGGTTATGAACCCGTGTGCTTTATGGTGCACAGTGGGGCCAATTCCATAATTACAAACTGCTAGAAACAGTTCCAAACAGGTTCCTGTGATTAATTTTCCATGTTCCTAAATGTGTGCCAAAGTTATCACTAAGGCTAGAGACAGGATCATTGTAATAGAGGCAAAAGCATGCCATACCATTTAATTATAGGTTCAGGTGACTATTTTTTTCAGCAGGATTGATCCTTTAGTTTTCAGAGATCAATTTCAGGTTTTAGTGCTAGTATCAACTGGCATGAAAAAAGAAAATGATTCTCTTGGCCTCCCACTTGACCAGCTATTGTCCTTAGAATACAAACAGGTATTTTAAATGATTAAGAAAAAATACTTAACATAATGAACTTAGCTTAATATTACATCATATTAAGGAGTATTTAGAACTCTTTACATTGGAACCAAGCAGTTATTTAACCATGCTTATATACCAATTTCTAGTGTCACACATAATGTTTAACTACAGCAGTTCTCAATACTAGGTTAGCTAAAATTCCTTTTTCCAAAATTCCTTTTTGTTGCAATTCACATTTGATTAACACACAGCATATCAAGGCAGCCATCAATTTATTTTTCTCTAACAAGCCATCTTTGTTTTAACATATACAAAAATGATCAAATAAGATTTATCTTGCTTTATTATATACCAAGCAGCAAAAATTTGTCACAGCTATTAAACCCTATAACCAAATTACTATAGAATTAGATCTACTATAATGAAGAATGTTATTTAAAATGACTTAGATTCCATGTTAGATCCACAAAAGTTTCTGCTGTAATAAAGTTTTTCCTTTTTAAGGTGCTAGAAGATTCCGCCATTTACTTATAACATATAATTTAGGAATTCCGTCAGATTTGTTGTAAATCTAGGATGTTTGTTTGTTGAACCATGAAATCTGATTGAAATTATATATCAAAATGTAGCAAGGATGCTGTTTAACACTCACTTCCCCCTAAGGGCAGTCTCACTATGCTTAACTGAACTGAATAAAAATATATTGGGTTACTTTGTTAGGATGTCTTTAAATACTGGTGTTGCCATAAAAATATGCAAATAGAATTTCCTTAACCTGAATGTTATAGGACAAGCTGTGGTAAGAGCATTATCATGGTTTATTGTTTGTTTAGCTTTAAGAAAGACAGTCATTCAGACTGGGAAATAATCAATAGTAGATTTCTCTCTGTAGAGAAGCCATTTGTTTTTCACCACTGCACAAAGAAATGTGAACTGCAAATGGACAAATCACTGTAACTGGAAATCATTCATGAAACGTTCAGCAGGTATTCACAAGTGCTTAAAGCTATTCACACAGAAACATTTTAATTTTAATGCAAGTATTATTAGTAAAATTTAACCATGTGACATTCAAAACTGACAAAATTCTTTTTATTAATTTGAAGTTGACAAAATGATAAATGAAGTTGATAAATGATAAAGAGTTCTCCTTTATGCATTACACTATGCAAACTATTCCTGTCTTAAGATTTTAGACCAAAGTTCTGTATTTTTAATATCATCCATAGATTTATTTTTAAAAATTACAACAGTAAAGCCCTGCAGGAGATATTTTTTTTCGAATACCTTGCTTGGACACATCACTGAACCTTAATGCAGATTTCCCTGATTCATCAAGGATGTCACACCATTACAATGCAACAGCAGACAGGAAAATATTTGCTTTCTTACAACTTGCAGAGTAATTTATGACACCTGAATTTAGTTTTAAAAACACAGTCTTTTTCAATACACTGTGGGAAATTAAAATAGCTCTAGGTGAAGCAAACATAAAAGAATATAAGATATTTATCTTATAATTTGAAAATTAATACCACCTATTAAAATGAGAAAAGTGATATTTTCTAATTGAAGCAATGCTTCAATTTCACTATAAAATACATTTCATGTATACAGACCAACTATATAGTTCGTTTTATATCAGAAACCTTGCAAATATTACGTTAAACAAATCTTATTTATCAAAGTATAGTATCTTGAAATTAAAGAATCAATCCTTATCATTATCAATCTTTACTTCTTGAATTCAGTCCATCAGATTATTAATATAAATATTTTACTTGTTGAATAAAATTAGAACAGCTCTTTTGTTCGAAATCAAAATCTGTAGGAAAATTAGTAGCAAAGAAACTAATGTCACATTGAAATAAATGTTTATTACAGTCAAATTTGATTTTCGCAAACTTTTTAAATTAGTACCTCACTTCCACTAATCCAGAGGTGTCAAACTCAATTTCATTGAGGGCCACATCAGGGTTGTGTTTTACCTTGGGTGGGCCAGGGTATGGTCAGATGGGTATGGCCAACTTGACAGCACTCATGCTGGGGGGCACCTGTGGTCTGCCAGTGAAAATGGGATTGCAAGCTTTGTTTTCAGTTGCAACAGCCTCCTGCAACCCTCTGTCAGTGAAAATGGAGCTGGAGGGGCTAAGCGCGGCCCTCACAAGCTCCATTTTTGGCTGGGCCAGCCTCCTCTGATAGGGAAAATGGGGCTCAGGAGGGCTGCACACAGGATACTGAAAAATCTTCATTCCCACCCCATTCCAGGGGGAGGATATTGTAAAATTCCATTCCCTTCCCACTCCTGGGAAGGGAAGGTTACTGAAAAATCCCATTCCCTCCCCACCCCACTAATCTGCTTTCCAGCTCTGCTCTCCTTTTTGCAGGGCAAAAAAAGAAGACTCAGCCAATCAGCTGGGACTAGGGAGGCAGAGAATAGATGGGGCAGGGCCATTCAGGTGATATTTGCCAGTTCTCTGAACTACTCAAAATTTCCGCTACTGGTTCTCCAGTCAGAACCTGCTAAATATTACCTCTGTGGTAGTCCTCAACTTATTACCACAATTGAGCCTAAAGTTTATGTTGCCAAATAAGACATTTGCTGAGCTTTTGCTCCATTTTATGACTTTTCTTGCCATGTTTGTTAAGTGAATCTGGCTTCCCCATTGACTTTGCTTATCAGAAGTTCACAAAACAATCATGACTCTGGGGCACTGCAACTGTTATAAATCTGAGTCAGTTGTCAAGCATCCAAATGTAAATCAAATGCTTTTTTCAGTGCCATTGTAACTTTGAACAGTCATTAACTGAACTATTGTAAGTTGAGGACTACCTGTGTTCATTCCCTAAATACCCCCTTCCAAAAAAAATTGTTCTATCCCACAGGTTTGAATGTTCCTTGATTTATGCTAGTTTGTAATGAAAGACAGTTAATTTAATAGATCTATAATCTTGAAGACAGAGCAAATATCTCAAAAATGTCTTTATAGCACAGAAAGTTTCATAAATCCTCTGAGAAAATATGCATTGCATTTCAAAGGCAGATCAGGAAAATCATCTCAATTGTGATTCAAATGTATTTCACCTTCAAAAGTGCTTAGACTAGAAACAGAATCTGACATATTTTTCAATTTATGTAGAGACAATATTCTCAAATAACCTTTTATAAACTCATCTATCATTTATTTATAGTGCAATTTGTCTTATCATTAAACTCATAGAGAAATAAAGCCAAAATCTTCTAAAACAAATTACTTTTTATCATTACCAAACACATGTAACTATTATAGAAAATTGTAAGTGTGAAAAGCAAAACTGAAAAGAGTAGAAAAACCAAGGTCCCAGACAAAGATCCATTCACCAAAGGCAAAAGAAATGTTAATTTTTATAGAAAAAGTCACAAACTTGAGATTTGGTGATAAAATACTCAAAATATATTCTAACAACAGGGAATCATATGTAAAGCTGTAATCTATTTTATACTAATACTATTAATTGGATTTTATCTTTGCTGTAGCCATGGTTGAGTAGTATGGTAGCATGAATATAGAAGATCACAGATTTGTTATCTCTAGATATAGAGATTTATTTAAATAATTCGAGCTGTTTTCAATCTTTTGTAAGGCAATACTGAGCAAGAAAAACAGCTTTTTATATTTTCATTTTGAATGTATTTGAGTGCATAAATGGCACTGTTTTAAAAAATAGATGATCCCATTTATTTCACCTTCTGAATCCTATCTGGACTTGTAATAACCTCCACTAAAATCAGTAAGAAATGCCTATAAGCATGACCTGGAGTTCAGTAATCTGAAGTTTAATTTTTAGTAAAAATAAAGACAAACTCCATAACTTTCCAGAAATATTTCCAACATGTCATATTTGACTTTATCTATGAATGCTTTTCAACAACTTCTATCCTTAAAAGACATGAATAATTTTAACATAAATATATGTATGAATTGATTTCCTTTAAATTGGCCACCTTACCTTTTCAACTGGTGCATTTTCTTCACATGTCGTTACACTAGCCTTTCTTGATGCAGTTTTTGATCTACTCAGTCTACGGGATACTTTTTCTCTAAGCAAAGTAGCATATCCAATGTGCTCATAAATAGGATTTGTCGTCATTTTGGAAATATATTCAGAAGCCTTGGTCTCTATATACAGTGTTATTAAACCATCTGTTACCAAATCATGGATTGATTCAAACCTCTTCTCCCCTACAAAGTGCTTTCCATCATAGAAAAGACGGTAATTTAAGGTCTGATTCCCAAATCTGCATTAAAACACAGTAAAAGTGTTTAATTAGTTTTTGAACACCACACTTGTATTTTTTTTATAATTATGTACATTTTAACAACCCATTATAAAAATAGTGGAGAAAAGAATTATGTAATAAAGATTTTATACAATTAAAGTAAGTGTAACAAAAAATGATGGGCCAGTGAGGAGGAAAAATTCCAAATTATTTACCAGGAATTAGTCATTGCACTGAAGGTTGGAATAATTCAATATCTACTTTTCTTTTAAAGTAAATATTTTCTTATCCATCACCTGATGGAATTAAACACATTTAAAATTTACACTATTGATTTCTGTTAACAGTTTCCCTTTTAAGTAAGAACTAATTGCGACTAATTTCAACTTTAAAAATAGCTGATAACAGTGGAAACGTAACTGCATTTTAAACAGCTAGGGAAAATTTGCTGTTCAGGAGAAAAAGTTAATATAAGAGATCACAAGATCTTCTTACATGATCATATTTTTAAATTTTTCAGCATTAGGTCTGGATCGATTTTTATTAATGTAAGGTAGTTTCATACTCCTCAGTTTCTTCTATTTGCAAATGCAGTGACTACATTTACACAATACTGTACATTTTGTAAATTATATTTTAAATGTTTTAGAAACAGCTTGTTAAAAGTCAGCAAGTTTGAAATATCTAATAATTTCAAAGGCTGAAATAGTTTAACTTCTCTAGTGGTTTTGGACTACCACACCCATCCTGCACATTTAAATGTTTTGGTTACTTTATTGTTTGGATTAAAGCATCCTTATGTATTACATCATGTTTTAAAATATATTACCTTGCATGTAGTTATTCACATGTCATTATTGAATTATCCCTTATATTCATGAGATTAACAAGCATTTCTTAGAATTTATGAACAAATGAGACAGAATTTACCTAAGGGCCAGAGTGTAGCATCCAGGTTGTCGCTGACTTTCTCTAAGAATATATGCTCCCTCTACTCCTCCAAGCAATTCATCGGCTTGCTCACGAGAAATGATCCCATGAAATCTGGAAACACAAAGAGAGTTTATAATTCTTAGGGGGTAGGTAAATAAATAAATCAGTAGCTTTGATATGGGGGGCAGGGGGGAAGGATAAAATAAAAGAATAAAACACAGAAGTTTCTAACAGCACCTGCCCCAAAAGACTAATACTATTAATATGTGAAGCTGGAAGTTTTTAAACAGAAAGATATTAAAATTGAATTCCCATTGTGTTATTTTTTTAAAAAAAGATGGACTGCCTTGCCATTTAAACATTTAGTGTTACAACTTGTTCGATTTTCCTGAAAGGCTCCGCATCCCCCTGTGATCATATGATTACATTTTGGGAACTTTATAGCTGTTTTAAATGCATCTTGTGAACACATGGATCAAAATTTTGAATGTTTTTTTTTGCCAGCTTCCAGTATTTGCTTCCAATTCCTGGCAAAAATGCAAATTGGATAAAAACTGGTTTTGTTAATGACTACTACAGAAAAGGTTGTAAAATCAGAAATGGTCACATGGGGATTTGCTTAATGATCACAACAATCTATGACTAATTCTATGTTCAATTATGATCATAAATCAAGGACTACCTGTCTATAATGTTATGATTTTCATTATGACATTACAGTGAATGTGATTATTTTTTGTTTATAGTTTGATGTACATGCTGCTGGTTACATGATAGAGAAAGAGAACAATATTAATTACTAGAACAAGTTTGGATCTTTGAGTCTTTAATGTAGGCAAAATAATATGCAGAATAATTATTACATGTAGATACATGCAGCTCATTAATTCAGTTTGAAACAAACACTGAACACTAATTAATATAACAATTTGCAGTTTTTCAAGTTGATTTTTTTTTCAAAAAAAGAAATATGCATGGTAAAAGAAAGCAAAAAAAAAAAAAAAAAAAGCACCCTACCATATTTTTGATAATGTTAATTTTCAGGAAGGCACAATCAAATTCAAAAGTATATAAAATATTCTGAATCTAAAACATTTCCATTAAAATGTTCTGGTCTGAGTTCAAAGGAGGTGTTTTGAATTTGAAACAGTCTGTACCACTCTCACAAAGAAGTCCATCGCTATTCTGATATTGAGGAAAATGGCCTTCAATAACCAACACTCAATAACTCAGCTCAAAATGATGATGTTTCAAGCTGTAAACACTCAAGGCATCAGACCAGCAGGGTTCAAATTTATTTATTTTATTTGATAATTTATATCCCACCCTTTTAAATTATTTTTACAAATAACTCGAAGCGGCAAAACATATCTAGCACACCTTCCTCCTCCTCAGATTCAAAACTGTTGGAATCTAAAATGTTTTGCACGCTCCTGTTCAGAAATATTTGCATTAAAAATAACCCATCATTTTTTTTAACAAATTAAGCAATTTTTGCTGGTTATTATGTCATATGAAATAACAAATAATTTAATACATACTCTCTTCCATAATATTTTGGTCTGTTCTCCACCTAAATGCAATTAAAAAAAATTAGTAAAATTGTTACATTTGAACTAATGATATTTTTAAAAATCAGATAAAAATTATCCCCAAACCTAAGCTTTTTTACATTCTGTGTTGTAAAGAAAAGTTGATAGATACACCAGTAGCAAACTGTTCCTCTTTTGTGACACTAAATTGTGACATAAATTTAAATGCTAGATGGATGGGTCAGTTTTCCAGTTAATCTAATGAAATTGTACTGTAGCTGACATACTCCTAATATAGGATTTATGGAAATGTATTAAAACATTTTGTTTTATGTATTCAACTCTGGTTTAGCTTAATGAAATCTTTTGATGTTATTATATTATGAGTTTTGGTTTCCACAATGTTCTTTAAAAAAGAAATTCTATTTCATTGTAATGAAATAATTAAAATGTACACTAAGGAGTGTTCTTAATTATTCTGAATATAAAAGACAAGTCTCAATATCAGCTTTATAAAAAGATAACCGTAATAGTACATTTTACTGTAAATAACTTCCATCTTCATGTACTTGCTACTCAAAACTTTTTCTAAGAAATGCACTTTCAGAAAAAGATGGTTTTCAGATAGTAAAAATATCACACTGAATTTATAAATGTCACACACAGTACAATTTAAATTATCATTGGTAAGCAAATACATGTTAGACCAGTAGAGGGCAGATCCTTACATAAATTATATTATGTAATTTATATTCCAACTCTGATTATCTGTTATCTGTATTACTCTGAGTTTTCATTGTTCAAATTGCTGCCCTTAGAACAGCTGCTATGTGAACATTTCTGGGAAGCAGGGAAATGGTGTAACAAAAATGTAAGAAAATCAAGTAAAATATATAACTATTGTTAAATGAAACAACTTAAAATATTCGATCAGTTAAATAATGTAATATATTTCAAAACTTAAGGATCAAAAGGCATGAAAAGACTTTTGCTACTGAGAATTCTGTTAGTTTTAACAAACATTTTACAAGTATTCTTTTTTGTATACATTTGAAATTTCCCTTTAATGCTAGTTGATTTTTAGGATTTAAAAATAAACGATAACTGTATGTGGCATTATTATTAATAGTTCATACATTATGAACTATTATCATACTATGTATCATAATTCAAAGATGAAATTAAAGAAAACTAAATGTGCCTATTTATGAATGTAATGTTTTGAATACTTCTCCCATATTCATCTCTAGTTGACAAAATCAAAAGAGTTTTGATAATGTACACAGAGGATGGTAGTGGTTATTGTTTTAAAAGCATCAAATTGAAGCATCAAGTTGCTAGAACTAAAATAATGATCAAGCTATAAATGTTATTTAAAATTTGTATTAGTAGTTCAAAATAGAAATGTTGATGTGAAAAATTGAGGCACAATATAGAAAATAAATTTAACCTACACGTGTTGTGAGATTTTTTCCATCTACTGATCAGTTAAAGAAGAAAAAAAACTCCCACATATTGTAGGGAATTTATAAAATGTATCTTTTAATCTCCCAAATGTTTTCCAAAATTAAGCAAAACCCAAAGCAAATCAAAGCCACTTTTAAAATGTAATATAGAAATTTAAAAATGAATATTTTTACTGGAAGTGTAAATGTATGTTTTACTAAAAAGTATTTTAGGATTTTGTAACTGACAATGGTAGAGTCATCTTTACTCACTGCCAGTATCTGAAGATCAATTTATAGCTATAAAGCAATTTTGCCTCCTCTATAATTATCTTTGTGCATCCACCCACCCACATTGCTTAATCTCTAATGTATTAATGATGGGAAAATATGAAAAGTGCATTAGTAAGACATTCAAAATCCAAAACATAAACATTGCAGATGTCTTACAATGGCTTGTAAAGCATCCTTCTTCAGTACAATAAAAGCAGATGAATCCATCTTTTGTGTACTAGTTGCATTACAAACAACAAGAAGTATGTTTGGTAATATGTGGGTTAGGGTATGATCATGGGAAAATGCATTTAGTAGAGTAAGGAATGTAACTGATTAATTGGAAAAGCTGTCTGCAAATCCCTGTTCTAAAAACTAACAACTGAATTGTTGCAGATATTACAACATCTGAGAAGTGATACAACAAGCCCAAGTCTAAACCATTACCGAGCCAGTTTCCCCTGCAGAATTAAAGTCAATAGATCATCAGCATTTATCTAAAATAGAGTATTCAGCTACCTCTGTGCTATATAATTAATGACTTTCAGTTTCTATACAGGGATTGAACAGGAAAAAGGGGTTTTTATTAGAATATTAACACTTTATCTTTACCTTTGCAATGTGTGGCTTCTGTAATATATTTTTTTGTAAGCTACTCAGAGTCATTGACTAAGATGGGCAGCTATAGAAATTAACTGAAGGAATGAATTGATGAATGGACAGATTAATAAATTTCAAAGGCTCTCTTTTGGACATGACTAACAGACCGCAATATTTGCCATATCTACACTAATTTTTTCCATTAAATTGCACATTTCTATATAAAATATCTTATGACAAAAAAGGATTAGAATGATATAAAATATTCCATACAATTGTTATTTTATGGTTAACCATTTTTATTTCTCATTTTTCTTTGGCATGATATTTTCATTGCAATTTTCCCTTCTTTTGCAAATAATAATTTACAGATAAATTGGCAAAATCCAAGGAATTCACCCATGTTGGGAAGAATACATTTAGCTGGAAATCTTCTGTGGATATTTAAAACTCTGAACTGGTGTGTTAAGCTAATATAGTAAAAGAAATCAGAACCATTTCAATTGTTCTCAGTAATGCACTGCCTATTGCTGTCACATTAAGAAAGTCATTGTCAAATATAGAAAATCCTTGCATATGTATATGAATTTTCTACTTTCAAAATGGTGGGGTTTACAGAAAGAGTGTGTACACTGCATGAGAAGTGGGAGAGATCATTTTCATTCAATCCTAGTCTTTGCTGATTTGGTCTCATTGAAAAAGGGCAACATGGGTATGGATAGCTACTTGACAGCAATTTTCTTTGACAAAATTTTGAATAGAAAATTTTTGCTCTGTTCCCTTATCTTGGAAAATGAAAGATGTCCAGTGTGACATCCATAGTTTGGAATCTACAACTAAATGTTAGGTTTCCCCAATACATTGAAGTATGATTTGTTTACTATATATTAATGAATAACTACATTGGTTCTGTCCACTTGGTTATGTCCACCTGATAGAAAACAAATATACTATGGATAAATGTGGTAAGTGATGCCAGTCAGACTCAAAATATCATACAAGATATGCAGTCTGCTTGATAAACTAGCTTTATGAATTGTGATGCCCTTAGAGGACTTGGCTGGCTAGGATTCAGTCCATGTGCCAGGTTCAGGTTGATGGACTCTGAAATCATGACAATTGGGTGATCTTGAATTCAATGGTGGGATTCAAAGTTTTTTACTACCGGTTCTGTGAGCGTGGCTTGGTGGGCATGGCAGGGGAAGGATACTATAAAATCTCCAGTCGAGGTGATATTTGCCGGATCTCTGAACTACTCAAAATTTCTGCTACCAGTTCTCCAGAACTTGTCAGAATCTGCTGAATACCACCTCTGCTTGAACCTATTACTCCAGCCTACATTTCTCCTCAAGTTGTGGCAAATTTTTGTGGGTGGATTTAAAAGGATAATTGGGCATTTTGTGTGTACAGCAGAGAGGAAATGCACCTTCAGTAAAGGTTCCTTTGTATTATAATCTGTAGGTAGACAAACAGAAGTAGTTGAAGGGGAAAAATTTATATGTGATTAACTTGAGTCTATTTCACAACAAATTATAGAATATAGTAAATGTAGCACATATGTCCTTATTTACATGAAGGAGTTACAGACTTTAATCTGTTGCTCTAATTTTCATCTTGAACAAAAGGTACTATTTTTCTCTAAACTTAATTTTCTTTACACAAAAAAATATCAATACAAATCTACTCCTTATATATCTGTTCTGATTAATTGTTTCCTGATTTTTATCCAAAATGTATGTGTAAAGTAGAAACAACATATTTTCCCTTGAGTCTTGGATTATATATTTCCTAATTTAAGCACTGTATGTGAAAGCTGTATACTAATAAAATCCACATATTAGTTTAGCCCAGCATTTTGGCACTTAATGGTGTTTTGATAATTTTGTATTGGTACACAATAATCCAGATCTTAATAAAAATGCCCACAGTTATTGGCCTGATGGTAGATTCTGAGAGCCTATTTTACAATTTTTCTTATTCCTTCTAATTATAGTCAAGCTTTTATTGACAAAATCTAAAACATGTTGTGGAATACTTTTCTAAAAAGATAGCTTGAGGAAATTCAAATAAACAGAATTTTCTCAGGTGAAGCCAATACGGTTTGATTCCCTTTCATCCAGAATATTCTGTTGCAAATCTGTAATGATGCCCCACAAAGAATAAAATAAAATTGACTTACAAGCTTTGCAGTTTACAAATTTGGCCAATTTTGCATGAATGGAGCTGCTGTTGGAAAACTATCTTTCCTGATACTTGAAAAAGAACTCTTTCCAGCCAATTGTTGATCATTGGCACTTCTTCTATTTGAGAAGAAAGGTTTAAATTCTTTTATAAAGTCTACTAAAGCATCAAAAAAGATTGCTACCCATGAGCAGATCCATATGGAAACAAAATTTAATCTGTCTGTTGAAATCCACATTTCATCAGACACTCTGACAAATTGATGCACCAGATTGATGATCTGTACTTAGAGCTATTTTAATTTCTACACAAAGGTCTTGCAAATATCCCCTGGGATGTACAGTAAAAGCAAAGAAAACTTCTCATTAATTAGATATTTAACAACCATAAAATCCACAGTAGAAAAATAAGCTTTCAAGAAGCTGAGATAGACCATTAATATGATATTTTTTGGAAACAAAAGGTGATTATAGATTCCTTTCAAGATATTATGCAAATAAATGTAACTACAGTGGATATACACATGAACATGAGCTAAGAAATAACTTTTTTAATTTAAAAAATGAATATGGAACCAGAAAAAAGTAATCAGTGTTTCTATATAATTTTTCACATTTCAATAATATAGAAAGAGCAAGTGTACACAATTCATTTTATCCAAAGTATTCTTGGGCATTTATCAAAACAAATATTGTCAGATGATATATTTGTTTGAAAAAAAACTAATACCAATTAAAACTGCATATTTCTGAACATAAAAACTCATGCAGTTGTGCTGAAGACACTGAAATTATACTAAATATTACATGCTTTTACCTACAGTCTAATATATAGCATATTGATGTAACTTTTAAATGCCCACTTTGTAAATTAAAAGTAAAGTTTTAAAAAACTAACTAAAAACTGACCTCATGAGGACAAATGATCCTCTTGGGACGAGGTGCTTCCTGTTGCAACTGATATACTGTTGAACATAAAAGTGCAATCATAGTTAGAAGATTGCAATGAATGCCAGCATTTATTTTCACATATTTAAGGCAAATACTTTCAATGAAATTGAAATAATGAGAATGGTTGAAAATGGAGATTATATACTATCATATTTCAAATGTATGCTTAAAATAGGGCTAATAAAACTGGGCTGCAGCAATGAGATTGGGCGTTGGTTCTTACCTGACACGCCATTTCTCTGGAGCCGTGAGGATCATCCAGAGAGTGGGAGGTGCTTCAGTCTACGTCGTTGATGGCTGAGCTCAATCACTGAGGAACGCTCCGCCCTCCATCACGTGGCTCTCTTGCGTTCCCCAGTTTGCGTGAAGACGAAGGTGAAGAGAAGGACGTTGCTCTGCTCTCCCTATGCTAAATAGGTCATTGGCCGAAACAAGGCCCCACCAGACGGCAATTAAAGGGTGGGGCTGGATGATCCTCACGGCTCCAGAGAAATGGCGTGTCAGGTAAGAACCAACGCCCATTCTCCTGAGAGCCGTTCGGATCATCCAGAGAGTGGGACATACCAAAGCTTGGCTGTCCTACGGGAGGGACCCCGTCTGGTCCTGCAATCTCCGAGGTTCCCTGAAGACTCGCTGGAGGACTCGCCTACCAAACGAAGCCTCCGCCGAGGCAAAGGTGTCAATCTTATAGTGTCTAATGAAAGGAGAGGGGGATGCCCAAGTGGCTGCCCGACAAATATCAGAAATTGGAGCCTGGGTGGCCCAAGCCGCCGAGGTGGCTGCACTTCTGGTGGAGTGTGCTGTGATCCCCCTGGGTACCGGCAGTGCCTGGGACAAATAAGCCTTGGAAATGGTAGCCCTAATCCAGCGGCCGATGGTTGACGGGGACACTTTGTGGCCTAAGGATTTGGGCTGGAAGGAAAGGAAGAGAGATTCTGACCTCCGGAAGGGTTGGGTATGCTTAATGTAAATGCGTAGGGCCCGTCTTACGTCCAGTGAGTGCCAAAGCTTCTCCCTTTCCCGCGAGGGATTGGGACAGAAGTTCGGGAGTATGAGTTCTTGAGCCCTGTGAAAGGTCGAGTTAACCTTGGGCAGGAAGGTAGGGTCCGGTCGGAGGACCACCCTATTGGCATGAAATATGCAAAGGTCCTTCCTTACCGACAAGGCTGCTAACTCCGATATGCGGCGGGCCGAAGTAATAGCTACCAGGAATACCACTTTGAATGTGAGGAATTGGAGAGAGGCTTCCCTGAGAGGCTCAAAGGGTTGCTTAGTCAGAGACACCAGGACCTTGTTAAGGTCCCAGGTAGGGTATCGGTGTATGGTTGGGGGACACAGGTTGGTGGCCCCCCTGAGGAATGCCCGAATACGGGGGTGGTGGGAAAGGGAACCCAGGTTATCACAGTCAATGACTGTGGATAGCGCTGCGACCTGACGCCTTAGGGTGTTGGGGGAAAGCCCTTTCCTCAGGCCCTCTTGGAGGAACTCCAAGACCTGAGCTATGGAAGGTGACAGCGGGTTGATCTGGAGACCATGACACCACTCGCAGAATCCCTTCCAAGTGGCGTTGTATATGCGGGTTGTTGAAGGCCGCCTGGCGGCTAAAATGGTCTCAATAACTTGGTCGGAAAACCGTTCTTTCCTTAAGCGTTCCCGCTCAACCTCCAAACGGCTAACTGGAGCCACTGAGGGTCTGGGTGTTGAAGGGGCCCCTGGGAGAGGGATATCCTGGTTGGGGGGATTCTCCAGGGAGGGGCCACCGATAAGTTGCGGAGGTCCGCAAACCAGGGGCGCCTGGGCCAGAAGGGTGCTACTAGAATCAGCTCTGCCCTCTCGGAGATGAGCTTCTGGAGAACTCTGGGAACCAGGGCTAGAGGCGGGAAGGCATAGAGGAGCCCTGTGGGCCAGGGGCAATGGAGGGCGTCGTGATTCTCGGCCCCGTGGGAGGGGTACCTGGAGAAAAACCTGGGGAGTTGCGTGTTGAGTGGGGAGGCGAAGAGGTCTACTAACGGGAGACCGAACATTCTGGTCGCTTCCCTGAATAGTGACGGGTGGATGCGCCATTCGGACTGGTCCACCGTGGTCCTGCTTAGCCAATCCGCTTGGGTGTTTGAGTCCCCTGAGATGTGTTCGGCTCTGAGGGAGAGGAGATTGCGCTCTGCCCAACGGCAGAGGCGTTCGGCCTCCCTCATCAAGCGGATGGACTGTGTGCCCCCCTGACGGTTGACGTGAGCCTTGGCGGTGACGTTGTCCGTGAGTATGAGGACATGCCGCCCGCGTACTTGGGGGAGGAAACTGCGCAGGGCCAGGAAGATGGCGTGGAGCTCCAGCCAGTTTATACTGCACCCCCGTTCTACCTGAGACCATGTGCCCTGAGTTGAGAGCGAGAGGATGTGAGCGCCCCATCCGGACAGGCTGGCATCTGTGGTAAGGGTGAGGCGGTGGGACTCCTTGATGAAGTGACCCTTGTTGATGGTGGGGCTGGTCCACCAGAGGAGAGATGTAAGGACTTTTGGAGGTACCTTGACTGTGGCCTTTGAGTTGCTTCTGCCGGTCCGCTGGAATGGGAGCAGGAACCATTGTAGGGGTCTAGCGTGTAAGCGGGCCCATGGAACAATGGAGATACAAGAAACCATTTTACCCAGTAATTTGGACAATTCTAAAATTGTAACCTTCCTGGAGCGTCTGATATGCCTGACGGCTTCCTGGATACTAAGGAATCTCTCGGGGGAGAGGAACACCTTACCCTGCACTGAGTCAATGACAGCCCCCAAGTGGGAGATCCTTGTAGATGGGGATAGTTGGCTCTTTTGCCAATTAACTAGGAAACCATGGTCTTGGAGGGCCGAGATAGTAACCCTGATGTCCCTCTCTGCTTGGGGTCTGGAGGGAGAGAGGATGAGGATGTCATCCAGGTAGCAATGGAGGCGGACCGGGAGATTCCTGAGATGAGCCGCCAGGGCCGCGAGGACTTTAGTGAAGGTCCTCGGGGCAGAGGCTAGCCCAAAGGGAAGGGCGACATATTGGAAGTGGCGGTGGTTGTAGCAGAACCTGAGGAATTTGAAATGGGAGGGTCGGATTGGAATGTGGAGGTAGGCCTCGGAGAGGTCTATGGAGGATAGCCAGTCCCCTTGGCGGATGCTGAGGAGGATGGACTGCAGGGTGTGCATCTTGAACCTGCGATAGACCAGATAACGGTTAAGGCGTTTAAGGTCCAAGATGGCCCTCCATCCTCCGGAGGATTTGGGGACTACAAAAAGGTGGGAGTAGAACCCCTGCCCCCGCTGGGAGGGTGGGACGGGTTGAATGGCCTGTATTTGGAGAAGATGATGGATTGCTGAATCCATTAGGTTGCGTTTGATGGGGTCCCTTGAGGGGGGGGACGCCAGAAAGAAGTCGGGGGGGCGCTCATGAATTCGAGCGTGAGGCCGAGTCTGATGGTATCACGGACCCAGGTATCAGAGGTGGAAGAGTCCCATCGGTCGGCAAAGTGCTTGAGGCGTCCGCCGATGGGAGGGGAGGGACGGGATCTATCTACGCCGGAAGGGCCTCCCTCCTGAGCCCCTGAAAGGGCGCCTGTAGCCGCTGCCCCTCCTGTTCCTATTGGCCGGATCGGTTCGATCCTGGGGCTGGAACGGTCGGGAGGAGGGGGGTCTCGAGTACCTTGGCGGGAAGGGAGACTGGTAGAAAGGGCGGGAGGAGCCTCTCCGAAATGGCTGGGGGCCTCTAGACTCTGACCTCCGAAACAGAGGAGGGAGAAATTTTCTCTTGCTCCGGGTTTCAGATAGCAAGGGGTCCAGAGCCGTGCCAAATAGTTTGTCCCCTTTTATGGGGGCAGTAGCCAGCTTAACTTTGTTTTTAACGTCCGCCTGCCAGTGTTTAAGCCAGAGCAGGCGGCGAGCAGTGACATGGGACGTTATTGCCCGGGCAGAGAATTTGACCGCATGGAAGGTGGCGTCAGCGGAAAATTCCGCCGCGGCCGTCAGTTTTGCTATGTCCTGGTGAGCCCTTGTGTTGGAGGGGGGAACATGTTGCTTCAGTTGCCGAAGCCACCGGATCGAGGATCTGGTGAAGAAAGAAGCCGCAGTGGCTGATCTAATGGCCCAGGAGTCCGCTTGGTGAGCTCTACGTAGGGCGAGCTCGGACCTCTTGTCCTCGGGTTTCAGAGCCTCTAGGGGGTCACTGGGGGAGGACGAGGAGGCCAACCCAACAATGGGCTCATCCACCTCGGGGGTGTTGAGTAAGTCACAGAAACTCGACTCGAGGTTAAAGAACCTCCTGTCCAGGCTGGATGGGGCGGGAGGGGCCCTAGTAGAATTCAGTTGATTTGAGACCAGGTCATGAAATAGGGGTGGAGCCGGGATTACCTCCGCCTCCACCATGGGTTGACTAAAGATGGCGTCCTCCTGACCTTCTGTCGGGGAGGGGAGAGCTGAGGAGGTTTGCACCGACAGGCCAGAGATGTTCCTGGCTTTGAATAAAAGGGATTTAAACATGTGGGGCTTGAACAGGCCCGCAACAGTGGATTGGTCCGGGGTGAGACCCTCATCCTCGGACATGTCCCCCTCCATAGGATCTACCTCCGATAGGGGCTCCTCTTGTTGCATAGACCCCCATTCCATTTCCTCTTCCCCCCCAAATTGGTCTAGATACTCTATATCCTCCTCCGGGTCCCTTTCTGGGAGAGGACTGCCTCCTTGAGAAGGTACCTGACCACGACTAGGGTCTGACCTAGGCGAGGACCTCATTGATGGTGGGTCGTGTTTGGGCGCCAGTGAGGGGGGAGTAGACCTGGACATCTGTTGAAGGCCCTCTGCTATCCCCTGGCGAATGGCCCGTTCCATCAATGCCTGTATGTGCGCAGGGATCTCGGATGAGGGGGCCTCCTCCTGGCGAAGACCAGCGGCCGTGGGCGTGAAAGTAGCTTCAGGAGGCTGTCTGGTTGATGGGCCGGGAGCCTGGTGTCCCTGGGATGGGCTGCGCCTGGAGACGGAAAAACAATCTGGAGGAGGGGGGGGTCTGGAGGTAGAAGGAGCGGAGGGTGCTGGAAGTACCGGTTGTGTCTCTCTGGACCGCCTGTCAAATTCCCTCTCGAGAGCCCTGTGACGTCGTAGGGCGTCTCTCTGAGAAGCCTTAGAGGTCTCCTTAGGTGTTTCCTTAGGAGTTTCCTTAGGAGTTTCCTTAGCCTGTTTGCGCAGGTGGTAGGATTTGGATTTGGCCTTCAAAGAAGGGCCTTTGGTGGGAATGTCATCTGCCATTGTACAAGAAAGGACAGTAATACAGTTAAAGGCGGTTGGCTCGCCAAGGGTTCGACCTACAACAAAGGTCGGGTGTCCTTTCAGCTGGCCCACACCCCCTTTTGGAATTTAGATGTATAAATTCTGTAATATAGATGTTGAAAAAATTCTTAATACTTATCTGCACAAGCAGGATAACAATCCAATGAGACTTGGAATGCTAAGGTACAATATCAATAAGAAAAAAATTACAGGAATAAACTCACTCAGGTCTATCTATATGTGAGTATAAATATAAACCTATATATGAGGAAATATCTAGACCTGCATACAGGCAGATATTCCAATGTCTATTAGAATTAGAACTATTGTTAATATTCTTGTTCTAATATTATTATTAGTAATATATGATTATTATTAATATTATTATTATTATAATTATTATAATTGTAATTATTAATATTATTATTATTACTCTATTAATGAAAGATTGCCAATTATCCGAATTAAACGCCTGAGGCTGGAAGAGAGGCCTCTGGCAGCTGGAGCTCCCAGGCAACAACCGGGAGGGATAGGCTGCAATCACTTGCCCTGAGCCTGCTGCGGGAAGCCAACAATTACTAAATTGTACCAATTAGCAAGGCCCTACAGGCTGAGAGGCCTGTGCTAGGGCCGGTTACTTCGCAGCGCTATGAGGCCTCAATCTTTTTATTTTATTTTTTTAAAGATGGCGCCCGCCACGTGGTGGCGCCCTAGAGGCGATCGCCCACGTTGCTGAAGTCCCGGGCTGCTCAGGGCAATGAAGTTTTTTACTTCTCCGGCCTTAAAAGAGGCCGAGGAAGCCAAGCAGTAAGTTTTCGCCCCTTCTTAGGGCGAGCGGCGTTTGCGGTGGGGGGGAATACCAGCAGCACTTATCAGTGCGATCAGTAAAGCTGCTGTAAGCGCAGCGAGAGAAACGGCAGGCAAGAGATCAAATTGGGGGGGGGGAATTAGCGCCGAAGCGCGAAAGTCGCCCGTTCTACAACCCCCCTGGGGGCGAAAGAAACGCGCTCCCCTTAAATCCCCAGTCCTGCGCCAGAAGGCTAAGGAAAATAACTTGTTTTTCTCTATAAATATTTCCAAACCTGAGAGCAAGTCTTGGATCGGCCAAGGAGTGAGAAATGCACAGCCTAACTTGACGACGGCTGAGCGCAAACTGGGGAACGCAAGAGAGCCACGTGATGGAGGGCGGAGCGTTCCTCAGTGATTGAGCTCAGCCATCAACGACGTAGACTGAAGCACCTCCCACTCTCTGGATGATCCGAACGGCTCTCAGGAGAAGCAGAAGATTTTAATCTTTGCATTTACAAGTCAGACAAATGGACAACCACTTCAGGTGTGGTATCCAATTGGGTGACTTTCCTAGGAAGAAAGAAATGGTAATTCATTTCTGCAAAGGATTCCTGGAAAACTGCATGGAATTATCCATATAGTTGCCAGGAGTCAAGACTATCTCAGAAACAGAAAAATATAAAGGTAAGTTTAAAGAAATGAGGAAAGTTTGTTGTATATTAACTTTGTAATAATATACAACATTGTCCATTAAATTAACTAGGCAGAATTTCTATATCAGCTCCATTCTTGACTTAACTTTTAGGTTTTTTTCCCTTCTTTCTCCAAGAATTACTTTCTATTTGAGCTCTAATGATACTATGTCAATAAATGAGCTGGTCAGTAATAATTCAAGTAAATTAAATACATTAGAAAATTACTTGAGTCAGCAAAAAAAAAAAAAAGCATTGTACAACTGCATTGTGCAACTTGTGGGTATTCGGGTAATACATTAGTGAGAAAAGCTTAGCTTTTCGTAACCCAGAGAAGCTGTAATCATTTGGTTAGTTATAAAATAATCTTCATTTTCTTCATGATTTCCTATTGCTGTTGCTGAAAGATAAATTCATATGCGCATAGGGATATGTATTTACTGAAGATCTTTGTTGAATAATCTAGATGTTTGAGAAGGTTCTATTAGAATATTAGAAAAACCAAACAATAAGTTGATTTTGCTTTACCAACATGAAGTCCTCTTGTATCTATTATAATGGTTTCAGTATTTGTTTCTGATACACCTCCCCTTATATAATTAACTTTTTTCCTTTCTTTTTCAGTCTCAAAGCTAACACTGTTGGTTATTGATATAATGAACGTATTTGCCTTAACTTCCACAACATTTAACTCCTACAGAAATGTGACTGCAAGAGAGGCTGTTTACCTCTTGGTAAACTAAGAATAAACTAAGCTTATTCTCAGCAATTCCTTGCATGTCTGTATTACAATTAGTGATTTCAAACAAATTTCTTGTCTCTCTCCCCCAGTAATATAAGGTGCAATGTGAGATAACTAGGTTGAACTGTCAAATTGGAGACTGCACTAGTCCAGATAATTCCTCCATATTATTCCTCCGTTATTATGTTAATATGGAGGAATTACCTAATATGGAAGAATTATCTACTATAATATTGCTGTGCTCATGAAATAATATTTAAAATTCCCCTTTTCTGCTGCATAGAAAATCCTTTCAGTCCCCATTCTCAATTATTTAATACCATGGTTATTTTGACATTGGAAACACACATGCTACACATATAGTTTAAGAAAACAGAATTGGATGCACAAATACAAAACAGTGTAAAAAATTAATTTGATCCATGATTGCTCTATTTGACATTATTGCTCCATAAATAGGAGGCATTCATTAATATATTAGATATGGCCTTTTCAAAAGATTGCACATTTAACCCCAAAAGCAGAAAAAGATCAATAGCGGAAGGACTGAAGTTGCCAAGGAAGGGACAAAGAGCCAAAGATCAGATAAGACTACTATCTAAACATTATGCATAACAAGCAATCAGAAACTGATACCATGTTAGGGCTGGAGAAAGATAACAATTCTATTTTAGGCTACAAAAGAAGACTGGGTTGTAGCTTATCTTCTTTATGGTTAAGACATCTTACATCTGAAATAACAACTTATTATGCATTCAAGTCTTATAACTATTCTTCTGGCAGTTCTTGAATTCTGCTTGATTTCTAGAGAGAGAGATTTATTGCTAGGTCCTAGACAAAGCTCTGAAAGAGGTATGGATAACAATAAAAATGATCAAATCCAGCAATCCATTATGATAGAGACATAGTGTGGTTATAATCTGGAAATCATATCTATTTTTCAAATTCTATTCTTTAAATGCATCCACTTTAAATATAGGCCATTCTTCAGTAGGAAAAGGTATAACTGTCATTTCATTCAATATGCCCTTGGAAATCTACAAGACAACTTCCAGGAAACAGAAGCTGCATTCAAATCAATGGTATCTGTCATGAATAAATGGTCTGAAAACTGGAATCAAAGTTGAAGAGGAAAAAGCATTTACCTCTGTAAAATATCTATTAGAAGCAGGTAAACAACTTCCTCAGTAGCCTTCAGATGTGTTGAGGTTGCAACTTTGAGAATTCTCTAAAGGGTTACAGCTCTGGATTTGATTACAGACAGCTACAATTCTATACCAGGAAATCTTTTACATATACCACAGGTTTAAAATAATCGAGTCATATATCTCTCCAAATAATTGTTTAGATCAATTTATAAGCTTTCTCTGAATCAAAATTTGACTTTAAATCTTTAAATCATTGCTTATTTCTTCTTTTTTATACTTTTTTCATAGGTTATATCTCCAAATTACATTTGGTGTTGCTATCTACAACATTTCCAAATTAACTTTCTTCTCTCTTCCTATTCTCATTTTCTAGATTCTGAATACTCACAGTATGATTTCCATATTGGTGGTTGATATTCTTCAGCATCTAGAATAGTAATAAAATAAACTTTAATCAATTAAGCAAACCAGTAAAAATATCAAAATTGCTTCCTTACCCACAGAATTAAATTAATTCTTACACATGACAGTATTTTATTCATGTTGTCTCTTTATATTCTGGAATAATATTTTAAAATTCTACAAAGTAATAAAGTATATGTCCAGCAGATATTTCTGTAGCTTTATTACAGATTAAATGGCAGTCAATGGTTATTTTTTCATCAAATATCTCAGTTGCTCTCACATTGGACCACTGGAAAATTATTAATATATTAATAATAAATAAAGATTAATAAATAATAATTTGCAACATAGCTGGAGTTTGGTCAATGTAAAAGTGAAAAAACGCTAGTACAGGACAAATAAAGATAGACCAGAGTTTTCCATATTTTCTTCCCTTTTCTAAAATCAGATATGGTCAGTGTTAGAATCTTTTTTTACAGATCAAATGAAGCAGAACAAAGAAAAACAGAAAAAACAAAGGCAATGCAGTATCAGAGATGTCTTTGACAGATGAGGTAGAACTGTCATTATAGCCATACCCTCCTCAAATGGTACATGTCAGATAAAGTTTCAATAAGCAATGACAAAGTAGGATACAATTTGTGATATGAAATAATATTTTTATCACTGCACTTTCACACATTTGCTTACTCAAGAACAATTATGATAATAAATTATTCATTGCTTTCTTCAACTTATATACATATGGACACACACATATATGACAATATCATTTATCTACAAAATCTCTCATGGAACTTTTTTTCCAGTTGGTGTTTCTATTCTTTTACAAGATTAATAAAAATAAAGTGCATTTCTTGAACTCGTGCATATTATACATACTCATAAGCATGTGCAAAGGCTATTTGCTAATCGACTTTCAAAAGGTCATGTAATAATTATTTGGGGGAACTATACAATAACAAAATCCGCTGCATATAAAGAAAATCAATATAAGATGTTTTATTATTAGCATTTGGCCCCAACAAGGTTGGCCAAAATGTATCCAAATATGAACCCAAGTTGTTGGAAATGCAAACAGGAATAAGATACCTTCTTTCATTCATGGTGGCTATGCCCCGAAGCAAAAAAGTATTGGATTAAAATACAAAAGTGGTTGTACAAAATAACAAACTGTCAAATAGAATTTAAGTCGGAATTATTCCTTTTAGGGATAATTAAAGGGAAATATAATAAAAAGATAAAATACATGATTTTGCATATAACTATGGCAGCGAGAATCGCATTTGCACAATGCTAGAAGAATAGCATACTGTCAAAGGGTTTTGTAATCAAAAAGATATTAGAATGTGTGAAAATGGACAAACTCACCCTAGAGTTAAAAGGTAAAGAAGATTTGGAGTATTATGCGATATGGGAAAATTGGTATAAATAGATGGACAATAGGAATAAGAATAGTAGAGATAAGAAGAAAGTATAGAAATGTATATAAATGGTTAGAAATGTATAGAAATATGTATTTGTTACAAAGATGCCTCAGTTTCTTTTCTTTGCAATGAAAAAACTTTCCTTGAGCCTGTTTAATATCTGGTTCTTAAGCTTGTTTCCAGTCAGACTGTATTGATTCTATTTGGATATACACACATGCAGGAAAGTATTGGGAATGGATAGCTAGTTGTCTATGTGTTCTTCTGCTAAGAACTAGCAGATGTTCCAGCTAGAAAAAATATTTATGTTGTCTTTTATTTGACTAATATCAAGAAACATCATGCGGGGGGTGAAATATTTGAAAAAACTGACAGGCTCTGGCAAAGCAACGATTATGTCACAATGCATTAGATTATCCATTTTACACAAGTTTAAATGAGTCAGCAACACTATGGATGCATATTTTATTTTACCATATGTTTCATGTCTGTGAACAATGATCATAATAAAGTTTGTCATTGCTGCAAAGAGGGAATTCAATTCACCAGCAATTATGCTGCTGGAAGAAGAGCATAACTATAACTGCTATATTTTCAAATACTCTTGTTGGCTTATTGAGTTTGAATGAATCCTTCAATCAAGATTCTGCTGTCACATTGGTCCCTTGACTCTTGTTTCAACCACACAGCTATCAGAATAAGCAGAGGTAAATGAGAGTTGAAGTATCATGAATGAAGGCAAATGAACCAGGATAATGCTTTAATAATGATCTAATCCGCATTGATTACCAGGACCAGAGTTTCAGTCTTCTGAGCTTTCCGACTCGTGCTGGAGCCCATCCTTTGGAACCTTCTCTCTCACCAGAATATGTTGAAATAGCATTTCTGATGATTATACGAGTATATATTCTAGTATTGCATTCAGCATTGAGAAAGACAGGATAAGTAAAATTTCACCGGCAACAAAGTTATTTAATAGCAACAAAATCAACCTATGTAGCCCTGAAAAAAAAAGTGAAGACCAAACCCCTGGATCAGAAGCAGGAAACACTCAGGCTTGGAGAAGGAAGCTCCCTCCCATGGAAGGAAGCAATAATTTTGTCTCCCATTGTTCTAGGGGAGAAGTCTTCCCAATCATAACTCAAAATCCTAATGATCTTTAATTATTGTCATTGTTATAAGACCTGTTTTACTATTTAAGAAAGAAATTATTGTCAAACTATTTGCTAAGCAAATTCTGCTTTGAAAATTGAACCATGAGCTTTCTGCTTTGCCCTACAAGGAGATCTAGCAGTTTAGGAAATGCAATAAATATCAATTGCCATAAGTACAATGGAAAGTCAGTTTGGAAATATATCCAACTCTGCCTTCATCTGGAAAATTGTCGGTATATATAGATTTTCTATTTTTGAAAATCTATTATTTGGAAATTAACATGTTTTACTTTTGTATAAATTTTATACTTTTGTATAAATATGAATTTACTAAAGACCAAGTCTATCTGCAAGTTGACAACCATTATAAATTAATTAATTAACTTAATCTTGTAAATGTTTGGATATTTTTTGTCAGCCTGTTTTCTTTATGTTTGCAATAATATAAAAGTGTGGTTAAGAAAGACACAAGAAAAGTAAAAATAAGACCTAAGTAAGAAATCAGTTCATCATTCTACGATGATTCTTTAGTGTACAAAGTAAACAAAATCAACTGAATACGGTATTTAGTTTTATAAAAAGTATAATCTTCAATCAGGAAAAGCATGTTTTCCTTTTACTCAATCACAATATAGGTTGTCCTCCACTTACATCAGTTCCTTTAGTGACTGAAGTTACAATAGCACTAAAACAAGTGACTTATGACCATTTTTCACACAACCGTTGCAGCATTCCCATGGTCATGTAATCAAAATTCAGGTGCTTGGCAACCTGCATGTTTGACATTGCAGTGTCCTGGGCTCACACATTCGCTTTATGACAAGCAAAGTCAATGGGGAAGCCAAATTCACTTAACAACCATGTTCCTAATTTAACAACTGCAGTGATTCACTTAACAACTTTGGAAAGAAAGACCTTTAAATGGGGCAAAATTTACTTTACAAATTTGAAACAGCAACAGAAATGTTGGGTTCAATTGACCTCTAGGTTGAGGACTACCTCTACTTAATTATATCTACATTATGTACCATAGGAATATAACAAACTAATCTCAGCCTAAATGAGCAGATTAAAAAAAATAGTGAAGTTCAAGTGGGCATCAGAATGTCTAATGAATAATAGGCTAATTTTCTTTAAAAGAAATGAAGACAAATTTGGAGGTCAACAATAAAACCTTTAAAACCATTTAATAGGAAAAAATTATTATGTATATCTTACTGATAAAGTTTTTGACCTGTTTGAAACTGAATAATTACTTGCTAAAGGAAGATATAAAAAAGATACAGGAACCAAATGAATTCTATGCATCTGTTCTCAGTGCTGAAGGTATAGCAAAGAAACTCTTATCAATCTTTTTTTCCAAGAAGGAAATCATATGAACTGAATAAAAAAAGTGAAATTATAAGCCTCACTGATAAGGTAAAAGTAACCTAAACTTTTATTAGGTATTATTTAACTGAGGGTTCTCAGGGATTCTTAAAATAGCTTGCTAATATTTTAATAAGAACATATTAATTGTTCATCCTATCCCATCAAATCAACTACAGTAATCAAATGACTGATTACTGATATTATTATTATCTTTGGGATGGTGATTGTTTGGTGGGTGGTGTTTTTTCTTTCAAGAGAAGTGCACTGGAATTTCATATTAAGGTGTGCCATTGTCTATAGAGGAAAATTACAATAAAGGTTATTCAATTAAGCTCAGTTCAATTCAAAACTCTTACCATCTCGTTTTACCACTTAAATAGAGATACAGAACTAATAAACATACAGAAGATAGTATACAGAAGATCCCACAATGAATCAATATTCTGTGTAGGTATCTGTAGGAGAAGAAGTTTATTTCTGAAGAAATAATAATCAACAAAATAAAATAATAATCTGGTTGATATACAGCAAATTCCTTTCAATATGGTTCATATTTCCAAATTTCCACAATTAATACTTTCCCCATACAATGTGGCCCACACATGCCTGTTGCTTAGAATGGAACCATACAGCATGGCACAAGGCATCTAATTTCAAACTAATTACCATGAGTTTGCCATAGATCAACTAATGATGATAAATCAGGTTATTCTTACATATGGGTAATACAGCCATAAATTGTTTTGGAGCAGACTATTATTTTTTTTTAGAAATAATAAAGCAATTCTAGATAATTCAAAGTCACAGTCATATCATACAGAAAGAAGAAAACAGCAACACACTAATCTTTCCTGGATCTCTTCATCAGTAGAAGAAATGGTGGCAAATTAGAAATCCCCATAGTCCACACTAATCAAGTGCTCCATTACCATTATTAAAGTAACAATCCAAAGTTTCACAAAAAGAGCAGTTTACGTAAGGACATTATTCCAACAAGCACAATAAGCAGCCCAGAACAAAAGGAAACAAATGAATACTCTTATAACTTTATCAAAAGGTGCCTGCCATTC